TCCCTCCTCTCCACTCTTCCTTCTCCCATTTTCTACTCCAATTTTACTTCCTGAATATCCAGGGTCTGCCACGACCATCACCAAGAACTCAATCTACCTCTGCAATCACTCACTCTTCTGCCTTTGGATGCAGCCCAGTCACTCAGAAACCAGGCAGCAAGAGAATGTGATCTTATTTATTTTCATAATTTGTTTTGTTTATAACATTATTGCATTTAGGAATGTAGGAATTTAGGAATGGAATGTATTTCAACATACAGTATAAAGTTTAATCATCCTTTGCTCAGGAGAAACACCAAAATTACAGTTTTTATTTTAGTTTAATGGGAAAACCTGATTTGTTTAATATTGTTCTGCATAAAATCACACTTTTCAAGAATGCAACTATAATGTGAAGTGAGGAATTACTTTACAGTTGAAGGGATTAGTCTTTGTTCCTTTGACTCTGTTCAAAACCTGAAGCCTTATGTATATGAAACAGCTGGTGTGTGGTGCTTAGAGCAATCCATGCTACATAAATCCAGACAAATTGGAATTTGGCAATCCCTTCATCTCATTATTTCAGTTGGGGTGTAACTTTGTGTGGTAGAAGTTCCAATCAAACACCACTGGAATTGTGACAAGGCTGAATCCCCACTCAGAGGTTTCTCAGCTGCATCCCAAATTACTTAGCACTTGGAGCACATGATTTTCTAGTTTCTGTTGAAACCCTTTGCAATCGCACAGACTAATGAATGAGATCACGTCATTAGTATGGACACACCCATCAACAAACTGAATTCCAAAGAAAATGTCATCAGAAACATGAGTAACGTGGTAATGACTACTGAACCTCAGTCACTGTACACCTCACTCATGGGAACAGTGAGATTCAAGTAGCAACTCAATTATCTTCCAGTCTGTTGCTCCTGTGGGAATGCCAGTGAGTCCTTCTGGGATTGAATGTTGTTCAATGTTTCAACAATCACATCACACCAACACTCAGTGAAAGCCACACTTGCTCTCAATCATCAGCAAAGTGCTGGAGGTGTTATCAATAGTGCTGTCATATAATGACCCACTCACTGAGCAGTTTGCGCTATTTGGCTCCTGACTTCATTACAGCCTTGGTCCAAACATAGATAAAAGAGCTGAATTCAAGAGGTGAGATAAGAGTGACTTGACATAAAGACAGCATTTTACCATATATGGCATTTTGGAGCCCTAGCAAAACTGGAATTAATAGGAATTAGGGAAAAATTTCCTCTGTCAGGAGTCGTGCCTAGCATTAAAGAAGATTTGGAGGCCAATCATCTTAGTCCCAGTACATGACTGCAGGAGTTCCTTGGGGTAGAGTTCGAGATCCAACCATCTTCAGCTGCTTCATCAATAATCCTCTTTTCATAAGTTGAGAAATTTGGATGTTTGCTGATGGTTGCACAATGTTTAGCACCATTTGTGATTCCTTGGATCCTGAAGCAGTCCACGGCAAAATGTAACAAGATCAGGACAACATTCAGGCTTGGGTTGATAAGCTGCAAGTAACTTTTGGTCTACACAAGTGCTAGACAATGATCATTTCCAACAAGAGAGTATCTAACCCTTGACATTCAATGGCATTACCATTGCTGAATTCCCTATTAACATCAGCCTGAGGAGGGTTATCATTGAGCAAAAACTAAACTGAACAAGCCAAGGACTGTGGCTTTGAGAGCAGGTCAGAGGCTGGGAATTCTGCAGTGAGCAACTCACATCAACTCAATTCCCAAAAACTAGTCCACCATCTACAAGACTTTCCCCTCCAAGTCATACAGCATCCTGATTTGGAACTGTAATGCTGTTTCTCCATTGTCACCTGGAACATCTTTCCCAACAATATTGTGGGTATACCTACATCACATGGACTGTAGCAGCTCAACATGGTGGCTCACCACCATCTTCTAAGGGGCAATTAAGGACGAACATCTATTGCAGGTCTTGCCAATAACATCCACCTCCCTCGAAAAAATATTAAGTGACACTGTGGAAACTTTAAAACATTACGGCCAGTGATTAATTTTTCCCACCAATTAATATACGCAAGCCGCCTAATAAAATTGGGGAACTGTGAAAAAATTTTCCAGCGACTCGCATCGCAAGTAATTTAAATCAGACAACTTGATTCTTATCTTTGAGCTACATCACTGAAGGCACCAATGTGATCAAAAATAATAATAGTTAGTTAGCTTAAAGTGACATGGAGACAGAATGTATGTACTGTAACAGTTACATTGGAGAAAGAAAACTGAAAGGCTTCACAGCATGACTTTAGCATGTAGATGGTCAGCAAGCATTTACGGTGTTAAAGGCACATTCCTGTACAATAAGCAAACTAAGCCTCCCTCATGTCCCCAGGTCTGCACATTTTGGGCCCTAGGGAGGGGCCCTTATGGATTCTTGTAGACCTCCTACTCTTGAAAACGATTACTTTTCATGACCAGAGTTTATAAGTCAGATTTTTTTTAAATGGCCAATATTGGAAAGGATTTGCAAAAAATTTAGACAATGCTCAGTCCTTCGAAAATTGTGCGAGGATATCATTGTTCATTGTCAGAACTCAAGTATTTTTCTGGCTTGAATTGGAGTCAAAACCTTTAGCAAGCTTTCGGAATGGAATGGGCAGTCTCTGCAGAAGCTGTCAGCACAAGGTGGAGACTGTATTTGTGACAAGCTGACAGAAGACACTCATGACTGCCTTGAATTTTTCGCTGAACATCAGTAAGAAATGTATTAACATTTGCATGAAATTCCTTTGCCTGATACATTAAAGTGTTTATTTTAAATGGTATATTCTCCTTGCTAGAATAGCAGGCAGCGTAATTACGGACATGACATTAATGCATTCGGGCTGAAATCTCATGTTGAAGCTTCTGTGCACAAAGGGTTTAAATACCTTCTATTGATGATATCAGTGGAAAATCTGCTGATACAAAGTGAGCATTCCACCTTTAACACGGTGATGTTACACTAAGGGCACATTTGCACAAAAAGTGCTCTTTTTACAGTGGGGTTCAGCGGTAGCGCACGCACAGCTCTGAATCAGATGGAATTTCTGACAGATATGGTACAAAATTATAAGAAAGAGGAATCATATACTGCTTCACCTTAGAGTCAGTTCAAATCTTGGTTTACACCTGAGTTACCCTTCAGATTGAGCAGCACTGCAATGTCATTTCAGCTTCAAATGAGAGCTAAACCTGTAGAATGTGAACATAGTCCAGATAACCCAATTAACTTGGCAATGAAACTAATTGAAAGATATGGTACTTTCAGTAAAATAATGTAAATAACGCAGAAGAGTGACAACAAAGTAAAACAAAAATCAGGTTGTTAGATCATTTTTAATAAATGACTTTGAATTAAAAAGGAACAGACTACACAATTATGAACAAGAGGAATTTAACCCTCCTAGAAGTTCAGATTTTGTTGAAAGATTGATGTTAAGATCGATTGGCTCCTGTAAGCGAGGAGTGAAGAAATGGAATTTTGCCTTTGACTGACCCATTATTAAATCAAGCCTGAGCACACAGTCAGAAAGGACACTAATCAAATTGAATCCCTTCCATTTGAGAAGCATTTAATTGCCATTTGGACTGATTCAGGTTGGCAGTGCCTCCAGACAAAGTGAAAGGGAAAGCTTTCAATGTGGGCAAAATCTTTCACAATGACAGAAATTCAGACACTGCAGTACTGCAAGATTCAGGCTATAGCAGATGAAAAATACAAGTACTTTGAAAATGCTGCTCCTTCTTGATCAAGAGGGTAGTATACTCTAACTCAATATGCACCACAAGGCCAAAGTAACTGACATCTCAAAGATGTGAGTTTAGTGAGATGACTGTGATTTCATGAATTGATTAAAAACACTCAAATTTAATAAAATTATTCCACTATACGACATGAGGCTATCCATGAGGGCTCAGCTCCTCTATCATATTTTGAGGTAGATTTCTACAGTAATCAAAAGGTTTCTCAACTGGGGCACAGACTGTGAAATCTGGATAGATGTGGGGGAGGTTAGTTTGACTTGTGGAAGCATTAATTTATTCCTTATGAATGGGCTGAGGATTTCACTTCGGGTATCTCACAGTGCAAACCACCACATTGGTTACCTGGTAAAACCATTCCACTTCAGTTTAAAGTGGTCATGGCTTGACACGTGTTGCATTGGCAAGTGTTAGACACGGCTGCCCTTATCTGCTACCTGTACCAACCCAGATGGATTGACATTCTGTTGGTTTATCTTCATTACCACACTCTGCTTTAACAGAGCAGTTTTACAGTAAACGCACTCCACTTTCCCAGGGCAAGTGCCAACAGGTACGTGCCTGTTTCATCAGTTCATAATGAGTGATCACAATGGAATGTACATTTAGATGAGTTTTAATGTACCATGGATAATCAGCATTGTGCTAAGGGGATATTCAAACATAGCAAGAATAATACATACCTGGGAGTGGCTTTAGAGTGTCATGCAAATCAAAACTGGATTTCCTGCATTAGCTAGAGATGGGGAGGGAGAGATGATGAAGGTCTGTTGGGGCTCCCCCTTCCTATTGCAAAGAAGAGACTTTGGAATTAAAATGTTGACTCAGTGTCTCTTCTCAGCAGAGCTGCTGAGTTTTGCTAGCATTTGCTGTTTTTATTTCAGATTTCCAGCATCCGCAGTATTTGCGTTTATTTCCCCTCCAGTGGGTGCTGTTGGAACACTGACCTGTACTGATGCTGGATAGAAGCAGGAAATAGGTCCTAGTGCGTTGCCCTCTCATCCACCCAGCCTGTCAAGTCGCACAGAGTAAATGCTCCCGCAGAAAGAGGAAGCATTTTGGCTAAATACACAAGAGCCCATGATGCAAGTGAAACCCAGTCCCAGCTTAGGTCAGCACCATCAACCACAAGAGGAGAAAAGTGCCAAACCTAATAAGAAAAAGGCTGTAATTCACTACTTTCTACAGAGTGACATGAAAAGAGAAAATGCTGGATGTATTCCACTGTTATTTTATTGAAGGTGTGTTTTGTTTAATTAAATGACAGTTTCTGCTATCAAGCAATATACAGTGAATCAACAGTTCTGAGGCTTAAAATGTATTTCTGTTTCAAAGATATGGTTTGACCTGGAAACACCATTAGTTGACAAGACCTATTACAGTAGAACAAGAATTCTTCAGTTACTGGTTCACTAATTGGTAACACATCATCTGATTTTGAGAGTGATGGAATTATTTATTGTAAAATGAAAAAATACTGAAGCAATTCAAGATGGGCTGACACACTATGCAGGCTGAGTCAGTCTCATACCTGACCACTCTCAGCAGTGGAGGTTACAATCAGCTCTGTCTCGCCACATGCCCTTGAGGAGAATGACAACATGGTTTGATAGTCAGCTCATGTGCATTATGAAGTGATCACACAATTTCATCCCAGTGCAGCAAACCCAGTGACAACTATCACAGGAAGCTTAGGTTACATGTAAGGTCATCTTTGATTTTTCCTTCGGTTACACTTGTGCTACAGAAGTGCTCATGGGCAAATTATATCAATGTAGCTCTTTTAAACCGGAGTTGCCCATTGGCTATTTCTAACAAGTAATGTGTTGGCCACTTAGAGGTCTGTCTTCAAAAAGGGCCATTCACAAATGCCAGTTGCTGATACAAATCTGATCCTTGCCCTAGAAATTCAGAGAGTCTGACGAGGTGTATTACTTGGGGACAAAATCATCAATTCACAACGAATCGATTAATGCAATGTATTCTGATACTGGACCTGTCTAAATCGTAGGTATTGAGCATACGATTGAGAAAGAAAATATATACCGCAGCCGTGATTCTGTTCACCTAGTGTCTCATTTAGAATAGAAATTTCAAATCACTAATATTTTGATTGAGATGTACTGCTACAGAAAATCTACCCTGATCCCGAAACATTTGGAAGGAGAGCTAATTTAAGGCAAAACCTTTAATACTCGGGACTCACCCCAATACAAAGTGTAATTTTTCTGTAGGTCAGTGTAGGCTAGTACAGGATTAGCAGCAAGCTTTCCACTATTGAGTTATGAAGGCACAGTCACACCAGAGGGAAGGTTCAGTCCTTTTTGCAAGTTCTTTATCATTTTGAAGAATACTAATCCATTAGGAGACTTCACAATGATAAAACTTGCACAAAATTCTCTATCAGAGTCTATGCAAGTTCAATAAAACTATGGATGTAAATGCTTAAATTCTGAAGATAATGAAATAATTGTGACATTATAGTTTGTTTATTTGTTAGAGCCCAATAGAGTTTGTCTTAAAAGGCAATACTCAAAGTGAGTGTCATAGATTTTTACTACACAACACAAAAAAAAGCTATCGCTCCCATAGTCCTCGTAGAAATCCAGCTCTCAATACAAACAGCCCACATCTCCCTTAGCAATACAGTTTCACAAACATTCAAACACTTGGTTAATCATCCTCTTCATTAGTTCCTTTCCACAAGAAGCCAACACAATCTGCAAGCCTCATAAATAAGCAACAGCTCTCTGGATTCAGAAATAGCCAGTTTTGAGGCCTAGGCTGAAGGAAAAGCCTTAGCCGACCTTGGACTAGGCAACAATCCTGTTGCTTCTGTGCCAGTTTACTGTACAAAATGCACAATAAATACAAATAATGATAAGTTCGTTCTTCACATCACGGAGCAACTTTTAGCCCGGTCCTTTCTGATCTCGGAGTCATCCAGTAAGTCAGTCCTCCCAGGCATTTGCGACACTCTCTTTAATCCTCGCTTAGAATTGCTGCGTTTCAGATTTTTCTGCATCTTATTTACAGAAGCCAGGGTCGTAACATGAAATACATCACGGACACTGTTCTCGGAAACTTTAGATGAACATTCCACATAGGCTGTTGCTCCTATTTGGCGAGCCACTGTACTGCCCTATAAAGAGATGGAGGGGTCAGGGAGATGGGGAGGGGAGAAAACCATAATGTCAACCTTCACTGCATAAAGAAAAGCATGAAATGTGTGCTTCACATTTAATTAACCTTCATCCATTATGTTGTCCAATACAAGTAATTTGAGCACAGCATGAAATGGCATCCAAGCAGCATTAATTCAAGCGCATGTCAAAATAGCTGAAGTAAAGCTTAGGTTCGCTGTGTTTTAAATGCTGCTTTAGGAATTGGATGACCTTTGCGTTTTTCTTTGAGAGAACAGAAGTTCACTTGTGAGAAACGTATTATGGTGAAAATCCAGATTAAGGCAAGCTGAGTCTTTCCCTCCCAATGTCCTATTGCTCTTGTTCTGCCCTTCCATGCAAGGAGCAATCCACATAAGGAGTACTGAGGAACCATTTAACTTTTGTTACCAAGTGTAGTTCTGTGCTCTTGGGTACGGGGAGTAAAAGTAAGGGCTTTGTGAGGGTTAACACCAATTAAAAGGCTCTAAACAGAATCATTGCCTTTTTCACATGATTAAGAAAACTTTAATGACTGCATTTTGACAGAACAAATGAAAAGGAATGAATGTTTATAAATGGGAATTACTGATGTTGTCAATAGATTACAATGAAGTTTTATTTGTATAAATCTTTTCTATAAATCTTACGTACATTCAAATTATTGCTCAAATCCATGAAAAAGAAAGTTAATGGCTATTGTGGGAACTGTTAATGTGAAAAGGTAGAACTTACTCTAAACCAGACAGTTAGTTTGTTAAAGGCGTGCTGGAGTGTGAATAAGTCAAAGCTTCTGTGCAAAAAGATTTGTGCAGGGTGTAACAATATTATTATAATTAGGGGCACAAACAGCCACTTGTGAATGAACATGTATTGGTGCAGCTGCTAGAGTTGAGGATACTGGAATGCAAAATCGTCACATACTTAGTTTAATTGCAACAGAACCAATTCTTCATTCACAGTTTGTACATTGTGTTGTTTTATGAAGTTTCACAGATAGAAATCAAGCAGAAAAAGCCCCATAACAAATGGATTGTGAATAGAGATGTCACTACACAGTGTTTGGGACTTGGAGAAAGAAGAAGTTACTGAATACAGAAGGTGTTACCACCCAACTATTGGTTGCTGTTTAGCCTTCAGGAAATCAGCAATCAAGTCAAAACTTTTACAAAAACTACTGATGTGCAAAATGACACCATCCACTGAGATGGAAAAAATACAGAACTCCAACATAATGTGGGAGTAATGGACTAACTTTTTTCAAAGAGGAGGTATAAGGATGACAGGCTGAATGGCCTCCTTGTCTGCTGCAAGATTGTAATGATAGTCTTTTGCAAAACTGGTGAAAGTTATTGCAAAAGACTAACAGAAACAGAGACAGACAAAATAGAAACGGAATAGGCATTCAGCCCTTCCAGCGTGCTCTGATCACGAGTGATCATCCAACTCAGTCCCCTGTTCCTACTTTCTCCCCATACCCTTTGATCCCTTAGCCCCAAGAGCTATATTTAATTCCTTCTCAAAAACATTTAATGTTTTGACCTCAAATTGCTTTCTTTGGCACAGGTACACCACTCTCTGGGTGAAAGTTTCTTCTCATCTTAGTCCTATATGGCCTACTCCATATCCTTAGACTGTGAAATGTGGTTCTGGACTTCCTCGGACATCGGGAACATCCTTCCTGCATTTGCTCTATCCAGTTCTAATCTAATCATGTGGTTTGGATAAGTCTCATCTTTAAACAAACGTGAAAGAGATTGAAGGAAGTTCCGGGATGGAACGTGGTTAAAAGGCTGGGAATGTACTTCAGAGAAGTTCATTCTACGAATCTACTTGTGAAAGATGGAGTTAGTGGTGGTCACGATCACTGGTTCCTTTGTTCTCCTCCATGCTGTTTTATCAGCATGGGGTTGGATTCAGAAAGATTGTGAGGACAGTGATAGCATTGTGGTTTCTCAGATTATTGAATGCAGGGACACAGGCAGAATTAAGTCTAGCAGTTCATGCTCCCAGTAGCATTTCAGCTCCAGAAATGCATGCATTTTCCAATGAAAAAGTGACTTAGATGTCCAGGGAACTATAAGTACATTGTAAAAAAAAATTTTATGGGCACCAACTGAAATGTCACCACTTTATAGATTAGCCCTCTGAGCATGCAAGGTCCTCCACAGCTTTCAAAGGACGCATGCACTTTCTGTCATCTAGCAGCTGTGATGGGTGATTTATAATGTATTTCAAACAGTGATAAAGTGTATAGAACCAACAAGGTCTTCACTAGGCTCAAGCAGACAGTTAGCATTCCCATCCTCTTACGAAAATCACCCATTACTCTGTGGTGCATCTTATTAACACAGATTCCTATGTTTTTAACAACATGCCCTTGCACATCCACAGCACACTATTTTCTCCTGTCTCGCCATCTATCTCATTTAAATCAAAGTTGTGGCCTGGTTACAGTACAGGAGGGTATTTGGCCCATCCTACTTGTGCCAGCTGTCTGAAAGAGCACCTCATCTAATTCCATAATAAACACAAAATACTGCAGATGCTAGAATTAAAGCAGAGAGTGCTGGACAAATTCAACAGGCCCTGAGACAGACACAGAATTAACTTTGATTCCAGTATCAGTCTTCTCTTTCATGTCAGCAGCTCTCGATGTGGAGATCAAGTGGAGGGAGAGTATTGAAGACAGGTAAAAGGGTCCGCACAGGAGGGAGGGAATTTCTATCCAAAGAAGTGGGCTCGAAGGCAAAGGAAGGAGTTTAACATCATGTCATCGCCAGAATTTATTGAGGTGAGGTTATAAAAGGCTAAAACTTTTGCTGAGTATAGATCATTCATCGTCAGAGAGGGGAAGGTCAGAGGATATAGTCAATACAAAGCACAGGGTGGCATTAGAGGAAGGGATGGAGTCAGAGGGAAGGGGAGGGGAGGAAAATCCAGAGGGGCATCGGTACCTGTGAAGGGTTATATTAGTGCCAAAACATTAACTCTGTTTCTCTTCCAGACCTGCTGAGTTTGTCCCCACTGTTTCTATTTCATCTAATCCCATATCCTGGTCTTTTCTCCATAGCACTGAAAATGTCTTTTCTCTGACAGTTAACTAATTCTGTTTTGAATGCCTCAATTGAATCTGCTCCCACTCCCTCTAAGGCAGGGCATTCAAAATCCAAACCACTTGCTGTGTAATACCAGTTTATTGTCCCCTCTCATCACTCCTGTTTCTTTTAACCAATGACCTTGCATTAACAGTTTGTTCTTGATCTTTGAGCCAATAGCAGCAGTTTCTTAATGCTATCCAGCCCCACTGTGATTTGGAAAACCTCCATGAAATCTCCCCTTTCTCTTCTCTTCCCCAAGGACGCATGGGGAGGTGATTGGTGTAGTAGGAATGTCACTGGACTAACCATCCAAACCCTAGGCTAGTTTTCTGTGGCATCAGTCTGAATCACACCACGACAGATGGCCAAATTTGAATTCAATTTTTTAAAAATCTGGAATTAAAAAAACACTTTCCTCATGACATGTAACCACTGTCAATTGTGTCCTTTAGAGAAGGAAATCTTCTGTCCTTATCTGGCCTGGTCCACATGTGACTCCAGATCCACAGCAATGTATTGATTCTTAACTGCCCTCTGGGCACTTAGGGATGAACATTAAATGCTGTCTCAAACACATCCCATGAATGAATAACTTAAAATTAAAAAACAGCCTCAGTTACTCCAATTTACCCATATAGCTGAAGCTTCTCATCCCTGGAGCCACTCTTGAGAATCTTTCCCGCACTCTCTTGCCTTCACATATTTCCTGAATGTGCTATTTTTCCTGAATGAAACTCATGTTAACTTCATGGAGGCAAATGATACCAATACAGTCGGGGTTCAGACCATCTCAAATATAGGAAGAGGGAGAGAAATGAATGCTCTGGTACCTGTTCGTGTGTAACTGGAATAAGCCTTTGCTTTGAAAGTTCCCTCAGCACATTCAGATCTGTCCTCATGTCGATCTTACACCCGACCACCAGCACTTTAGCACTGGGACAGAATTCTTGGGTCTCGCTTTGCCACTAGGAACAAAAGAGCCATAAATGTCACATTGCTCTGCCTGATACAATGAGATCATCTTAAACTTTTCGCAAACATAAAAAGCTATTTGCTGACTTTCTAAAGGCTATCCCTGCTGACACCTGATGGGAGGAAACGTCAAAAGGTTACAGGGAAAGGGGAGGAAAGTGGATGTAAGGAATATCTAATTAGCTGGTGATCCTATTAACTGCTGGAGCAAGCCTGATAGGCCGAATGGCCTACTCTTGTTCCTATTTCTCATGGTCATATGGTCTGGCAGCGACACACCAGCAGCAATAAATCTCAAATATATTCTTAAGTGATAAATAGCTAACAAAACTATAAGCACAAAAAGGAACTGAATGAACATATACAGTGGTTAATTGAAAAAAAGAGGTCATGCAAAGTAAACTTTATTGTAATTTTTTTTTTAAATGCCTGAATACATATACACAGACTGAAAACTTCAGTTCTGCACGCGCAGGTGGCAAATATATTGATGTCAGCAAACATTCTGTTTCCTTAATCTTTTTAAGATGACTGATTTTCAGAAATGTAATGGATCATCTGCTGGCCATAGCACATGGGACACCGCTTACTCTGTTGTGAGAACATTCTGCAAAGTACCTTTCAAGTTTTGAAAACATGTGTCGCAGCCACATGTGTATGGTCAGTTTCTAAAGGTCCAAGACCCCCTAGCTATAGCAGAAGACACAAGTCAAGATCACTGTGGAGACTGGAAAAACGATCAGCTCATTACAAGAGAGACAGAAAAAAAAAATCAGCCAACAACCAATTCTAGATCAACAAATCCAACAAAGGAGACATTTGTCTGAACAGAACAAGAGCAAGCAATGAGACTGTGGAACACACCACTGCAAGGAGCAGTGGTGATCAATAACATGGATGCATTTAAAGAGAAAAGTCTATTCAAACACAAGAGAGAAAAAGATAATGTTATTGTTGATAGAATGAGATAGAGGAGGATGGGAGTCAATTTCTGTGGAGAATAAATGCTAGCATGGATGATACTAATTGGAAGTATAGATTTTGCAGTTTAATGAGCAACTTTAATTGCTGATTGTATTTTTATAAAGTTTGAAGAGTGAGAGAGAATGAGTGAATTTGTCTGAAGCAATTACACTGCCTCGTCTAATTAAGACTTGTTGCATTTCTACTGACTTAACATGGATGTTTATACAATTGTACCGGTCAGATATTCCTGCCTGAAATACATCAGGCTAATTAACCCTTTAAACATCAAAGCTTATCAAAAAAAAACACTTCTACAATTATCCCTAACAGGGCAGTGAGATGCACGTGGGTGGGTCACCTATCCTGTGTTTCACTCTGCACACTGATCACTACCCATCCCCCCTCTGCCACACAGATTGTGAAAAGTAACACATGAGATTTTGAAAATCAACCTTCTAACATTTTGAGCGACTTCTTTAGATCCTTAAGAGATTTATATAAAATATGCACAAACAGTACAGGGCTTGGATAGAAAAAGTTTTTAAAAATGGGCTTGAACCAAACCATACACATCTTTTGTGGAATAGTCGCACAGCTGAAGTTGATAGGTGACTGAGTAATGGCTTCACCATTAGATATCATTTATATTTGCTTTTATGTAATATTAGGAAAAGGTTTAAAATGAAGTGACTGCCGTTATGAAGATGCTTTTCTCTAACGCTACTTTCTCATTACACACATTTTAGGATGTCAATTGCATTACTCGCGTCCACAGGGGGCCGTGCACAATGAACCCTGACCTGGATAATGACCCGAGCCTCAATTGTCCTGCCTTTTTGGTTCCCATAAGTGTTGACAGTTCAGGAAGCTGCAAAAGGATTAGAGTTACTGTGACCCCCTAGACAGGGGACACTAGAGTCAGGAATTTGGCAAGATCACGGATCATTTATAGAGCAGTTGATTTGTGACTGCTGGGTGCCTGACCTCCCTTCTCCACACTCCTCATCATTTTCTTTTAGTCCCGAGTAGCTTGGCCTTCAAACAGCTACACAGAGACTCACTTCTTTGACCCATTGTCAGATTAGCAGTTCATTGGACATTGTGTGGGAAACTGCATCAAGGCATGTCATAGCAAGCAATCATGTGTGAACATAAATGA